TATGAATCACTCGAAACTGTAACAAACAACTTCACCAATGATGCAACACGACTTTATTGTTCTGAACTAAAAGGACTTCATATAGATAAGCCATATGTTCGACCAAAACATTTTGATGAGTATTTTTGTTTATTATTGCACATGTCAAAATTTCGTGATGAATTTTAATAAAAGAAAAATAAATATTCATGTCTCAAAATTATTTAATGACATTGTAAATTATGATATTGTTATCTCAAATAAAAGTTTTTTCTTAAAGATCTGAGCAATTTTACATATATTATTTTATAGAATCATAATTGAATAAAAATAAAAAAAGTTATATTCAAACTTTATATAAAATGTTTCATTATTGTAATCAAACTTTAAACTGTTTGATAACACACAAATAAGAATACCTTTTTTTTCTCTTTTCTTATTTGTTTATGTACGTAATTAATAGTTGATATGCATTCTTTAATCGATTTTGACTAGTAAAACAATGAAATATAGTGCGAAAACCATCTTTCTTTTTCTTATTATTCAAATATCCTTGGTTCGCTGATATACACAAGTAACGTCCGTCGTCTCGACTAACTTGACTCTCGACTCTAGGAAACTATAGAAAACAAAACTATTGTCCACAGATGCTCATAATGACAGAAGCACCTCAGCAATTCTACCTTTCAATAGCCAGTCATAAAGAAAATTAGATAAAGTTTATTAATAGATATTAACAAAAATTACAAACATTCTCTGTTATAGAAAGTTTGAAAATAGAACAAGCTTCTTTTATACAAATATTAGAAAAATTGTTCTTACTAAAAAGATTACTCTTATTCAGCAAAAAATATCCTTAACTTATAACACTACACAAATTAATATAGGATACATATCTCTTGAGATTATAAATATTCATATCTGCAATGGGTAGAAGAACAAGTAAAGATGAAAGATATTTCTACAATAACGAAAACCACATGCAACGTGCTAGAAATAATTGTCAAGCAGTATAGTCAAGATTTTCATTACTCTGGGTACTATTATGATAAATGAACTGATGTTGAATAAAAATATAAAGCAATTGAAATAGAACACGGAGCGATGCACTACTAAATCTAATAATCTGAATGAAACTAAAAGAACAGAATATAGATTAACTTCCACTGCTAAATAATTTGAGTTTATCGTATTCAAGTTCGAAAATGCTCATCACATCTTTACATATCAGATTATTAAAAAAATTATAACTTGATATCTTGTCAGATACCACTAGAATATTGAAGATTATATGTAACATATCATATCCTGTATAATAAACAGTAAGTGATGTTCTAAGGCGCTCATTGGTCATTTCAATATTCGACGAATCAATAACTGCTAATTCATAATTTACCTTTACGTATATGTTTCTTGACATAAATTTTCTTCTATGTAGTCACGAATTGAAAAGATATCAAAATAACTATTGCAAAACTTAGTAATGTATTGAAACATGCCGAAAAACCTGAAAACCTACTCGATACAATTGAAACCAATATGATTTATCATCTTTCATCAGCATCAAATATTACAGACAAATTTTAATCTATTAGTCTCTGGATAACTCGACTTATCCTTTAAATAGATTTTTTATTGACCAAATGTGTAGATCATATTTTATTCCCTTTTGATAACTCGAGTTATCCGATTGAGATAAGTCGACATATCCTGTGCATAAAGTTTTCGAATGAATATAACCAGGACGGACGTTCCGGCCTCCGGATCCGAACGGAAAGCATGCTTTTTCCGATGCCTTTCCGAACAGTTCCGGTCAGTTCCGAACGGAATGAGAAGGAAAACCAACGGCATCCTGACGCAGTATTCCAGACCGGAATGTCCCGGATCAGATATGGGGAAATTCCTACATGATCCGTTGAACAGTTTCCTACAATATCCGAAAATAACCGTCCGTATAAAACAAAATATCCAATACACCACACTATTTCCGACAACGTTTCCAATCGGAAACGAAAGGAAACCCCTCACATATTTCACACGAATCCGGCGATCCGTGTTTTTCCTTAACCTGCCTTTATTTTTCGCGCAAATCCGATAAAAAACGACCAGTTCCTGTGACCGGAACCGTCAAAAAAACAGAAAAATCCGATTCTATAAATTCCCTCGATTCCCCATCACAACCCGACAGATCCAGCCATATCTCCAAACATCCCGACAAAAACGAACAAATAAGTATAACAAACAACCGAAAACCATCCCAAAATACTACTCGATAGACTAAAATCTTCACCCTAAAAGAACACCGCCCTGATCATCTTTTAAAACTGCAAACAAAAAGTCCCAAATGAGCGCTATATATAACGATCGTCATATTTCTTCAGAATTTCTCACCGGATCAAAATCCGCTGAAACCTTTCAGAAGAAAACCACCATTTTAAAACATCCCTACTTCATTATTTTCACGTACCCTTTTAAATGGATTCAGATCCGCCAAAAAAATCTTCCAGAAAAATGAACATTTTCAAAATACGCTTTATTTTTTAATTCCAATTCGATTTACAATCAGACTATCCTCGACTCAAAAATCCTAAAAAACAGCTACCATTTTAAAACGTGATTTGTTTTGTTTATTTCAATCAACACTTTTTCAGGTGCTCATAATCCCACTGCTAATATTGAACAACACTAAAAAAAACCAACCAAGTTTTAAAATTCCTATTTTGCTTGAGGATTTTTGAGCGGATTATAATCCGCTCAAAAATCTTGGGGATGAAGAAGTTGTTCTGATACGTAGCTGAGTTCTGTTGCGGGGGGATGATTAGAGGACTACTTATCGGTTTAGAGTTGAGGTTTCAGTTCTCATCAATACTTAGGCTGTCTATGTATAATTGTTTCTGTTGAAATTATATGTGTACAATTGAAGCATTTAGGCATTGTGACGAGGACTCGGTTTCTTTGTAGAGGTAATGAATATCGGAATAAACCTGAAAATTGTCGGAACTTAATAGTTGGAAAATGTTTGAGAACCTATGGTTTTCCTTTCGGGTCCCGGGTATCGGATACTATAGGGAAAGTGTTGGATTTTTTTCCGAGTATTACCACGATTTTCCATTGGGATATGATGGGAAACCAAAGGAAATTTTCTGGTGAATTCCGGTCTGGAATACTGCGTCAGGAAGTTGTCGGAAGATGTGGGAACCGATCAGTTCCGAGTCGGATTTTTCGACCTGGGTAAGTTGATGATGGTAAATAAATTGTTTTCAAATTAAAAAAATAATTTTTTTTTCTATTTCAGATGATGGTGAATATGAAAATGAAGAAACTGAAAACGATTCTCGTAATTTTGATTATATTGATGAATATATTCATTGTCTCAACATAAATCGATATAGTGTAAGAAAAACAATCTTCATAAATAATTCTAATTTTTGACCTATTCAGTTACGAAAAATGAAACAAATATATTATACAAATCAAGTCTATCTAGCCGATGTCAAACAACTGCTCTGTCGCGACCTTGATAAAAGCCACGACGACAACAACGCATCGGATATAACATGTTGTCAATATATAGAATACGTTGAATCCTGTGGAATGATAATCGAATCCGAACTTGGCATTCCTCAAAATCAAAATCATTTTCATATAAAAATAGACTAATCATGCTTAATATCTGTGAGATATTAAGCTTGCTTTTGATTGAAATCTTTATTGATGGTTAAATATATATGTGTGTGTTCTTCCACTAAAGTATAAAAATATTGAATAAAGAATAATTTTCTATGATGTATAAAAAAGTATTAATTTATCAGCAAAAGATATCATTTTTATAAAATCTCTCCGGAATTTTCATTTAAATAAGAAACAATTTATTTATATAAAAAATACCCAACAAAACTGCATATCTAATATGAAATTAGTGTATACAATAATACAATTGAGATGGTGATTTTTGTAACGTGCTTAAGTACTTCAGTTTAAGATAAATATGAAAACTGATAGATTTCATATCTATTTATGACGAATGAAATCAAAATCTCTACACAAAAATATGCATCCCTCGTCGAATATGCACAATTGTATACGGTTGCTATAATTTACAATTCAATAAGCAATATGCTATTTTCATTTTTGCAAAGGGGACACGGCAGACTTTATGCGTAAAAAGTACGTGAAAATACAAAAATAACTTTAAGTGACTTTAAGTACACTCAAGTATGTAGAAGTACCGCCAAGTACATTAAAAATAGTTCAAAAGTATTTTCAAATACTTTAAAAATACAACCAAGTGTCTATAAAGTACAACCAAAGTAATTTTGAAGTACAGCCAAGTAGATCTGAAGTGCCATCAAGTAAATCTGAATTACAGCCAAGTATCTCAGAAGTATCATCAAATACTTTTGTCGTACAATCAAGTATCTCTTAAGTACTTCCAAGTACTTCAAAAGTCTGTTAAAGTATCTTGAAGTAAGATAAGTGTCACAAAGTAATGTAAAAAATCTTGAAAAGTTGGTAGCTCATCAAACGAAATTTAACTACGATAAAATATGAAAAAGGGTCAGTTTACTTCTTTTAAAATCATAAGAAAAATATTAATGATGAACAAGAGGATTAAAAATTTTGTGAGTTAATATTGGTTGTTTGCTGCATTACTCGAGATAAACGATCGCTTGATAACTTTGTTCTTGTGTTGGATAATAGTCAGCACGCTGACTGTGTATGAAGATATTTAATTTTGTCATTTATTTTTACTTTGAAATACGAATGTTTTAAGAGAGGGTTGACATTACCAACACAAGAAGCAAAAACTTCTTCATTATCTTTAGCAGAACACAAATCACATGTTCTTCAATTAATAAAAAAATGGTGTCACGATAATAAAGAAAATTTAAATTTAGAAAATTTTCAATTAGAAGAAGATACTGATTTTACACTAGATATTGAATTTGATCAAAATTCTAATGTACAAGCCAATATCGAGTGCAAATGTGGTAGAATGATTTCATTACCTAGAAATGGTTCGAAAATACAAATGTCTAATTATTATAAACACTTGTATTCTCTTGGATGTAGTCATATGAAAGGTATTAAGAAAGATGGCCAAAAACTACAAGTACAGCAGCAGCAACTGCAATCAACAATTTCTACATCATGTGCTCCAATATCTCAACCATGTATGTCACCTGCTGAAGCATGTACCAACAAAACTACAGATACACAACTAGCACCAAGTGAAAGTTCAACTTCAAGATCCCAACCCAATTAAAGCAAAAAGCGTCCTATGGCATCATAATCACAGCAAAACTCCTCAATAAAACGATCTCGCAAATGAGCATTTTCTGTTTCTATTTTTTTGACATACATGTACCGAATCATTAATATTTTTGTTTTATCTCATTTTATTCAATAAATTCTTTTAAAATATTTGCAACTATTTTCTGCTCCATCTGTCTTTAGTTCAAGGAAAAATTCGACATTATATCGTATTTCGTAGATTATATAAATAATTAAAATGCTAGAAATTCAAAATAATGATTATATATATATTATGAAGAATTAAACTTCAAGTAATTTCAAGTTGTTCTAAGTACTTCGAAGTACTGCGAAGTAGGCCAAAATACTCGTAAGTACCTACTAGTACTTTCAAGATGGATCTAAGTAGATCTAAATACGTGAAAGTATCATCTAAGTAGCCCAAAGTATCACTAAATAGCACTAAATTATTATAAAGTATCAATGAAATACCTATAAAATAGCTGAAAAGTATCGTTTAAGTATTAGTCAAGTAGTTTAAAGTCCCTTAAAGTCCATTGAAGTCCAGAAATCCGCCGTTTCCCCCTTGAGATGAAGATAATGATAATGACGATGATGATGCTGAAGATACAAATGCATTCAACCTTGAAGCAATTCGTAATGATAATGAGAAGGAACCGTCGTTTCCTCTTCTTGATATTTTAAAACAAAATAAGAATAATGTAAACAAAACAAATATTCAAAACTCATTTCGTATACATTTTTTTAATAATTTAGCTTGAAGAATTATATAATATTGAACGTGATCACAAATTGAAAAAAATCGGTGCCTATGATCAACTTGCAAAAATACGAAGAAAAATCAGAAGAAGAACCAAAAGAAATAAAGCAAAAAATACGGAAACTACAACAACACAATCAGGAGATGAAGCGAAAGAAACAAACAGAGATATATTATATAGAAGAATATGATCGACAAAAAAGACGATTACGATTAGTCACAAAAGCTATTGCAATGGCAAAGAAACATTCGAAATAAAATGGACATTACTCATCTATTCATTAAGACATATTTCCAATGAATCTCTCAGACAATCTGAATTATTGGTTAAATCGTTTTGATTTAAACTATTCAATTTGTACGTAATACAAAATTATTATAAATAATATGTTCTGCTATATGTAAAACAATTCTATAAAATTGTTCATGTAACTGTTTTTGTAAATATTCAAGTATTCCATTCAGACGTGATAATATTGATAATGATTGTAATAAAACATCAAGATATAATTCTGATGGTTGATGATTTAATGTCGAGTGCACGATTTACTGTCCACGGACTTACTGTCCATTGATTGGAAATAAAATTTGTTTCAATTAACCAATTTCTTGTATGAGAATTTACTTTTCGTTGATTATTTAGACTACACAAAATGAGTAATGATTATAATCATAGCAATACACAGTTTATTTTTAGAACAGAAGTACAATAAATATATTAATAAATAACAAAAAAATTCTAACAAAACTGATTAAATAGTACAAAAAAAAGAGTTAGTTGTTTATTTTTTGATGGACGTTGAAAATATCTGAGTCAAGCAGCTTTTAAGAACGCTGGAATATCAGTACGACCTTCATCGTAACGTTGCCACAATTTATTTAAACATTGATCAGATATAACATTGTTCTTTCGACGTTTCGGAGTCAGAGCTCCCAAGTCATCTCGTATTCGTGAAAATGAAGCTAAAGATTGTTCCTTTTGTAATAAATCAATAGCAATATAAATATTTGGATGTGGTGAATTTACATGTTTTTTCATTCGATTATGTCGACCTTCTAAATAATTTATTGTACGAGGTGTAATATTACGATAATGGTTATACATATGTGGTGGAAATCGACTGAATGGTGCAAATGTATTGTGATAATAATCAAGAAATCTTTGAATACCTGGATAATTAGGTAGAATACGAAGTAAACATTGTAAACCCGATAACATATGATGTAATGGTAATAATGACAATGCTGCGAAAGATCGAAACCAGTCACGAAGACTTTCATCATCTTTATATGCTGTTTTTAAAAGTATTTTTTAATGTAAGAATAGATGGTAAATTAACAATTAAATCATTGGACTTCATATTAATCCCGTGATAAGCTTCTTCTACAATACGATCTATTGAACTCGATTCTTCAAGAACTTTACGTTTTAAATTTTTTCGTATTTCTAATACAATTTTAGTAGTATCATCTGGTAAATGTGTATGCTCGTCACGCACGATAACCGATAAATTAGGATAACTTGTTGCTGATATACTACATTTTACACATACTCAGTATTCGAAACCATTGTAATTTGTGCGTTTGCGAGAATATCTATAACCAAGGTAACATAACTGCTTTTTATTATGTGTAGATTCAGTAAATTTAGCAGACATTTTAAATTATAGATAGATTGAAGTTGAGTATCTTTCCCTTATATACATTTTTAAAAAGCTTATAACTCCAATAGCTATTCCAGTTCCCAAATTAATGAGCAATACTCATTAGAAATTAAAAATTCCGTTAATCATTCCCTCATTGCACTGACTATCGTAACGAATAAGCATTACTCATTTCGTGTAGCCTAAATAATCAACGGAAAGTAAATTCTCATACAAGAAATTGGTTAATTGAAACAAATTTTATTTCCAATCAATGGACAGTAAATCCTCAGCAATACAAATAACATTTTTCAACAAAAAAAAACCAATTAACGATGAAAAAAATCAATGCACAGTAAGTCCGTGGAAAGTAAATCGTGGTATCCCAATTACTTTCTTTTATTCAAAAAAAAATCTTTGATTAAATTTCGACATGTACAACAATAAAGGAAAATATTCATCAAAATGTTTTCGTCGAACATATGGCTCATCCATATGAAGTCCTTTTAACTTAGAACAATAAGGCCGTGTTGCATCATTTGTGTAGTTATTTGTTACAGTTTCGAGTGATTCACATTCAATGCAGAGATCCAATAAACAAGGTAAATGAGTATTTGCATCGACGAGAAATTGTTCAGCATAATCATCATGTGCGTCAATAAGATTAAGAAGATTAAGATGAGGAAAACTAATTAATGTTGAAGGATGTTGCTTCTTTTTTTGTGGTTCCATGTTGGATATCTTCAAATTTTTTAGAAAAGGAAAACTATCAGAAATAATTTTGAAGAATTCATGTTCAAAAGAAAACGAATCAGTCATTGTTAAGCGTCGGACATTAACGAACATGCCACCTTGAAAAGAATTGTTGAGATGAAGAAAACTTTCGAATTGATATGGAAGTGAATATATATGAGATTTGACCACAGCCTTTGCTTCTTCAAAATCGATGATTCTATTTTTTGGCTTTCTTGGTTCAAAATGTACATATGAACCAACTTGTCCATATTCTCTTCCAATGAAACTATTTTGAATGTCTTCATTTG